TCTATTTATCACTCTACCTCAGTGAAGGTTAATTAGACTGATCTGCACTGTCGTTACAATAGAACGTGATAATCAAAATTGTGACCAGTCGTATAAACGAACAGATCTATCGCTAATTGCTTTATTAAAATAAAAATTTATAAATACATGATACAGCAGAAAAACAGACGAAGGGACAAAGAATGTGGTTTATGAAGATCGTCTATAAAATATGGAAACTCTAAAAGCAAAAATTCGTCGTGTATAGCATAAACGAGAACACGTTGCACCGCTCTATGCATGACATACTTCGAAGATGTGAAGAATGTTTGCGCATAAATGAAGGTCACTTGAGTGATATCACCTTCAAAACATAAATGGCAAACTATATTGTTTTAAATCTTGTGCGTGAAAATTCGTTTGAAAATATTTAAACGTTAATAACCGTCTATTTATATTCGCCGGTTTTTCTACATTGTGTATAATTAATGCATTATATAGAAATTATCGAGAAAGAATCGCATGGAAATTTAATTCTGACTAAAATTAATAACTAATACAGACAGACTCTAACTTTCGGACGTAACGCAATGCTTTTCTAAAAATGTTTAGGAAAGTCGAGCAATAGAGTTGCGTGATATAAGCTAGATATTCTCAGAAAACTAAAATGCAATCCATTATTAATGTAGAAAAGGAAAGGCCTATGTTCAATGCATAAAACACTATTTGAAACGTTATACATTAAACATAAAACAGACAATAAAAATTATTCGGAAATGATTTTGCTGTTATCAAAACCAAAACTAGCAAAAAGCGTCACCGCACCGTAGCTCCAAATTGTTTCTTTGTTAGCTGAAATTGTACTAAAATGCGAATTTGGCATACGAAAAGCGATTTAAGAGTATCGAAATATTGTATACGAAAGAGCGAATTGTTCGAAAACGGTGGACCATTTATATATTATTACATCTAAGTTCGATTATATTCGTTTTTGCAAATTTAGATCGTAAGTTCTAGCTCAACATACAAAGCAATGATGTTTTAGAAAATATTAACAATTTTAATATTGTTTTTTTACTAATTTTAAAACGTTAAATTAAATAAAAATATGTTTGAAAATCTTACTAGAAAAATAAAAAATTTACAGAAATTCGAACAAATTCGAAATCAATTACGAGTATAAATCAATCATATTTAACAAATTAAAAACCACAATTTTAATTAACGTTGATTATTTTATATTGATAAGTAATCTATTAATAATCCGTACCTTGAACATTTAAATTAATAATCTGAGAAAAATTAATTTGTCAAGGTCTTATAAACGTTATTAATCAATAACAGCATCAATCAAACTTTATCAGGAAACTGTGGCTCAAGCTTAAAATTTCAATTTTGTTTAATTAACATATTTCGTTAATAAATCGATATAAAAATTCAGATAAAATATATTTGTGCAAACAGTTTTACTAAAATATCACCAAATTACGATATCATTTTTTCTTTTTTTAATTTATTTAATATAGTTATTTTATATTTCTATTTACTGTATTTTGACATATTTCATTAGTGTATTTACAAAAGTTATTTTTTTTTAACAAAGTATCTCTCCACATCATTTGTGTATTTAAAAAAATCATGCAAAGAGAAAATACATATAATTTAAAACATAAATAATACATTAATATCATTTTTTAATAATTTTTAATTATTATATTTCATTAAAAATATATACATTCAATAGACGTTTTTTCAATTGTTAATTTAAAAACCACTTTAGATATAAATATTGTATTTACAGTATGTTTCTGTTATTATTGATTAAACATTAATATCTATTTGTATTAAATTAAATTTAATATATTTATTAACAAATAGATTGAGAGATGTACAAATTTCATAAATGAAACCATCTTAAAAGCAAACTGATTAAATCAGTACAACATTCAATGACATTTCTAATATTCCATTCCCTGAAGTCAAAGTTGATGTCCTGTTTGCTAGTAGTTCATATCCGTAAGGCACGATTATAAGATAGAAACTTTAATTGTGTTATTTATTATGATTAATGTATAGGAAACAAAAAAGTAAATGACATTAAGATGGATAAGAGTCGCCATATTGTCTGTTATTCTATTATGCTAGTTTGATATCTTTTTTTACTTAAATGAAATTATCTCAACATATAAAAATACAAAGTTGATTTCAATATACAACAGGTTAGTTGATTAAATAAATTTGAATCATTATATTGTCATTGTAATAAAACAACGCTTTAGGTCTAGTAACAGAACGTGAAACTATGCAAGTTAATCATGTGACTATGAATAGAACATTGAAATATTTAATAACTCAGTTTTTAAAAAAAATTATGAAATTTTTGTATTTTTTTGTACGAGTATGGGATGAATGATTTAATTTCAGCTTCTGTTTAATAAATTTAGATAACGAAAAATGTATAAAACAGATATATCGATATTTATTTTATTATATTCATAGGTAAAATCTCAAAAACAAAGAATTAAGGATGCATGACAATTTTAAAAGCTTTTTCATTATAAATATATCAATAAGTAATGTTTTTCATATGTAATATTAACAGAAATGATATATACTTAATAAATTATTACATATAAAAGCAGTAGTGATAGTGTTTATCAATATTATTTATTTATTTTTTCCGGATTTATTTATTAACTGCTAAAGTATTAAAGGGGAACTTGTAATACAAGAACATTATGATATCATAATAATGTCATCTATTGCAGATGGTTTATTTTAAATTTTATTATATCGCTTAACCATCTGTCTTATCTACGTACAGTATTTATTTAGTTTAAAGCAATTAAAATTTTTATTATTATTTTTTCGTCATATAGAAATTCTCAAATATTTATTCTAAACTTTTATTATTTGCCTGTGTTTCATAATGAATTTTACAATGGTATGAATGGAGCAGTTTTTAATTATTAACATTAGAAATGAACACAGTAGTAATAAAGTACATAAACTGTTCATAAAAAATCACATTATTATTTATATTTAAGTTTAATTATCGATCATAAAATTAATTACCTGAAACTACATTATAATCATGTTATGTTTTTGACAAATGATTGATTGATTTTATGGCTACATTAAGTATTTAATAAGTTAATTGGGTTAATTAGCCTACGATGTATAAAAGTTTTCATTAGACTCTTACATTTACCTCTATAAAATTAAGAGTAAAAGTGTTTCATAATAAGTTTATGCTGTCAATCTTTATTTTTTAATTACATAATGCAGATAATATATTCTTAATTTTTCATTAACTAGCCAAACGTGATTTATCTAAGCATTTAATTAATTCATTAAGTTTTGATCATTTTTGTTGATTTATTATTTATTTTACAAAAATTCTCTTAAGATATTCGAATTTTAATTCTTTTTTTTTCCTGATTTATTTGGCAGTAATATTATTACTTAACATCTGCAAATAAGCTATTTACAATCGTAATGAATGACATCAATTGAATATTTATTTTATAATACTCGTATTTTTATTAAAACTATATTACATGCCAGTACCTAAGTGATGAACACCTGCTTCTTAACATATTGTAACAATTCAAGCGCTTCTAATGATTGATTAATGGTTTAAACGTGGTTTAAGTCGTTAATGGCGTAAAAGTTGAAAACATGCGAAACTTCTTTTAAATATATATAGAATGCAACGCGAATTTATAAATTGAAAAGAAATTTATGTGAATTTAGTGGTGCAAGGTCTTTTCGTTTCTTAATCATGTTTCTTCCATTCAGTTGTCCTAATAAGTATTTATGTGTCACTAGGTAAGCTGTAGGCTCAAACCACGTTTCGCCCGGAATAAATAGGACAAAAGCTGGACATCGCGTGTTTGTTGATATTGTTGAGCAAGTAATAATTTATAATATTTTTGAAGTAGGTTCTAGTCTATATTATAAAAGTTTTTGTTGCTAATTAAATATCCTATCAAATTAGGAAGAAATTTCGGAATGCAGAACACGTTATATGTAAGTATTAGGTTTCAAGGTTTCGAGACCTCCATGTGTTTATAACTAAGTAATTTTATCAAAATTGACTACTTTTATAATTGAATAAATGAAATTATCATGAAAATTCGGATCATAAATTCAAAAATTAAAAATTAGAACAATTTCTGAAATAAATATATACTATTCGCATTTAAAATTAGCAGATATCATTACTTATATACATACATATTTTTCTCACTTAGAAGTATTTAAATTTGTTCATAAAGTGGTATCAAGGACAGTCAAAACGTGGTACTAGATAAGAGAGAGCACTTTCCCACATTAGCTTAGCATGTCAGTAAAAATAAATAGGACTATAGTTGTAACGGTGATGAATTATAACTGACAAAAGACGTGATTAGAATTAATAATAAAATAAATCAAGTAAACGCAGAGTCATGAGCCGTTTAAAATTATTTTCACGTTATTTTGGGATACTAGAAATTTCTATTACAAATATTAATTTGAAAGTTTCTATTTTTAAAGTTATTATGTTACAAAATTACTCATATTTTACTAATAAATATAGCTATTGCTATTCTAATTCCTTGTACTAATTATTACTTCTTCATTGATATTCTGGGTGCAAGAATTCTTCCTAGAGCGTTTTGGCATAGTAATTAGATCATTTACAAATTAAATATATTTAAATTACCACAAGAATGCTTAATCAAGTTTACATTTTCGCATTTGTAATTTCTGTATAATACTGAGAGGCAGTTTCTTTACTATTTTTGTTACGAATAAAAAACGCGTTAATTAGTGAAATTGAAATAATTCATTAATAAATTTATATTTATATAAAAATTCTGAATATTTAAATACAACTTTATAATAATAATAATAATAATAATATATGTTATTGATGTTGTAAATTGCATATTTTCATTTTCTCTTATCAGAATGTTTACATAATTTTTCTCGTTTCCTTCCTTTTAACTTACATACATTATTAATGTTTTTTTCAGGAAAAAAGATAAATCTAAAGAATAACAATTGAGATAGATTCTTCGCCTTAAGCTATTCCTTTTAGCACACCGCACCCATTGGTTCCCAAATACAGCTAGACAGGTTTACATCAGTGCAAAACGAGGTGTGTCGGTGGCGATGCTGGTTTGGCCTGGATTTCTTGTCACTGACATGGCACAAACCACATGGCACGGGTCGGGATTATTAACATCAATACTTAAATGCACGGTAAGAAAAATGATTCCACTCTATAGTAAATTATTTAATTATATACAATTAGTTTAATAAATACAATATCATATGACATATATTTTTTAAAATAATATATTACGTATTTGTATCATTAATAATATATTAAAACTAATTTTTCGTCTTTACTAGCATTTACTCAATTTATTTTATTGAATTAAAAAATTATTTTTAAAATTCTCTTATTCAATGATTATATTATAGTTAATAATGAGATATTTTGATGATGATCACGGTTGATCGTGACATAATCGAACATAATTGTTGTAACAAGTAAAAGGCACTATAATATTAACCTATATAAAGTCTATATCCATGTATAATATCGATAATCTACTTCATAAACTATTTACTTTCATGTGATATTTCACGATAATTGTTAAAATTATTTTCGTTTCACAGTAATAGTATTTCTACACAAGTGTATAAATAAAATTCCATTTGTTTATTCGCAATCATTCTGTTTATCCTATAAGATAAATTTGTATTTAAAAATGTTAAAAGTAATTATATTCAAAATAATTTTTACGAAGGAATATTTCCTTTATAAAATATGGATAATAGTAATAGTGAAAGAGTCTGTATACATTTTCACTATTGCATTAGTATAGTATAGTATATATATATATATATATATATCTGTCTTCTTTTNATTACAGTATTGGAAATGAAATATATTTAAAATAATAATAATTTAGTATTTGTATTATGTTTAATATTATTTAATTATATTTTGATAATATAATTTGATATTATTTAATATTATTTTGATAAGAGTTTTGCCTTTAGAGATTTATTTGACAAGTTAAAAATTACATATTAATTCAATATCATACAGGAAAAAAATGAGAAAAATCAAAAAAATCTTAATTAAATAATTCATTTTAAAAATAATTTTTACAATTAATAAGCCATCATCCTGGAGGAAAAACATGCATTTAAATTTCAATTATAATTTTATAACTTATCGTCATATTTAGATTTAATAGAATTGCAGTTTCAAAACTCGTATTTAAACTAATTAAAACTTAATAAATTTTAAAATTTAAATAAAAAAATATTTTTGATATAGAGGACTAAAACATGACCAACGTTTAATTTAAACTTTATGAATAAATTAAATTTAAATTATTCAATATCTATTATTGAATTTATTTAATTTTTAAAGTAGTATGATTAGTTTTCAACATATAATTATTAATTAAAGACTCGAATTTAAATATTAAATATTTAAGATCTTATTAGACCTAAATATTCAAATAAATATAGCCTATGATTAAATAAACTTTAAATGTATTTATTTAACATAATTGAAAGTATTTGTAAAATAAATAAATAGCAAATTTTGCTATTTTTTTTTTAATAATTTCGCTATAAAATCTATAGTGATATTTATTTAGTATTAAAAAAATGTAACTATTTATGTGCTTTATAAATGAAAAATGACATTTGATTAATGATATAAAAAATTATTAAAAGTTTTCCTTTCTATTGTTCTTTCCTAATTGCTAATGTTTAAAAATACAATTAATCACATTTATAATTATTATAAGACTAATACTTTAATAGTAAGACGTTCCGTTTATAAATAAATATTGAATTCCTGTATATTTTTGTTATATATGAATATATCTTTATTGATAACGATAAAAATATATTTACTTTTTTAAGAATAATCAATTAAGATATAGAATTTACGAATAATGAAATTATGAAAGGACAAATTTTAAATTCTTTTCAAATTATTTAATCTGTAGACTACCTTATACTGATTAATCCTATTATGGTTAATTGAGATTGTCCATAAATGAACATATTAATCTCTGAATATTAGTCATTCAAGCTGTAATTGCAATGTTTAAATATTATATGCACTAATTCTTTTAGAATTGTGCAATCCCCTTTAATGTTTTCGCGATCATCTTTTAGTCACGACTCGTTGATCTGACCTCAAAAATATTCTGTAAAACGTTTTAACTATAATTAATTTTATTAATACTTAAGTATTTCTAAATTCTCGATAATTTGCTAATAAATTATTATATAATTATAAATCTTAATCTAAAATTTATTTCCAATTATTGTGAAATTGATGAACAGAAAAAAATTATCTAATATAGTTCTGAATCGAATGTCTAAATATGTTAAAACTAAAAAAATACTTAATAAATTAAAAGGATAATTGAACTTTTTTGTGTTGTATTACACAATATGAGATTTTATATAATAAAATAATTTTAAATGACGTAATATAACTTTCAATCGCAATTTATTAATATTTCTAACATTATTTCAATAATAAACAAGCTTGCATGGCTGTAGAAGAACATTTATGTAATATACAAACAGGGAATCGAGAGAAATGGAAGCTGAAATTTTTCCCTGGATCTGAAGAAAACTTGGGGTCTATAGTGGTAGTTCTTACTTCTATAAAATTAATATTCTTTTTATTACTAGAAAATGAAATCTTTAAGATTGCTTTTTATTAATAAAGAAGCTTTCTACGTATTTCATTGGTACAAAAAAAAAGACTAAAGGGAAAGAGGAAAAGATGTCCATTTTATCACGGGCCTCATAAGCTATCGACGTCCTTTATACAAGAATTGTTTTAAATACTTGTTGTTTAAATTAAATTAATTAATGTTAAATTATTAAGCAAAGCAACTTAGATTAATTTTAGATAGTATTTATTATCATCATCGGTATTAATTTCTGTTCAGTTCAGTCATTCTTTCCGAATCTGATCTCTTCTCATGATCTTTCATAGTTAATTCGGGTTAGAACTACTTTTTCCTCTTTCATGTTGCCCAGTAAGTTAATATAACCTGAAATGACGAATAGTCTGTTCTATGACTACTTAATCCTGTAAAGTTAATATTAAAAAAATATTGTCAAGATAGTAATAATAATGTTATTGTCTTCGTTCGAATTATCAAAAATACATATTTAAAATAGTACAATGCAATAGCATTAGTCATCAGATATAAAAAAAAGGATTATTACAAGCCAGTTACTAAAGTTTCTGACTATAGTAATTTAGATTTAAATGACTTATTTACAAGGACGTCGAAGGTTCGTATGAAGCGCGAGGCAGCGTGGGTCCCCTTTAATCTTTTTCTTTTCTGTTTTTAAGCAGATGAAATACATAGAATATTTCTTTATTAATTAAAAAAACAGTCTTACTTTTTATTTTTTGTTAGTAAAAATAATATTAATTTTATAGGGAATAGAACTATTACAGGCCCTAAGTTTTCTCCATGCCTGGAAAAATCCTCAGCTCCCCCGCTCTCGAAAATTCTGCTCATTTGCAGGAAAAAAAATTATTTCATTTAAAAAATTGTGTTTCTAGTTTTCATAAAATATACGTGTCTATATTTTAAATGTATTCAGCACAGTTAACAATAACAAAATTTTGCAAGTCATCGTACTATAAATGTGAATAGAAATTATAAAATGAATAAATATAAATTTCGAAAGGCGTCTACGAAATTGAAATGTACTTGTCACTTATTCACAGGAATTATATCTTTAACATTTCTGTGATTTACACATCTATATGAAATAACCGTATTGAAATGAGACGTATAACTTAATACTGTTGACTAATGCAATCATCAAATCTAGAAAGTTAGGTAGACATAGTTTATTTTAAATGCTGAATTATGTTTAATATTATTTTTCTCAAATTTTATGAAAATATTTCGAAATAATATTTTACATTTGTTTATTACTAAAGAGAAATAAGATATTCATTAAATTTTAGTTTATAATCTCAGTTCAATATTATATTAAATTCTATTGGTGACTCATAATAATGGTCTAAAAGTCTTAAAGAGTTTATTTTACAATTAATAATTTCAGAATTTTATATTGAAATATATAATCTATGATATCAAACCTGAAATAATTGTGAAGGAGATCAGTTTTAAATACTTTATCACAAATAAAACGTTGCTGACTTTTTCTATAATTTTCAATATACAAGCATATATAATATCTATTTAAGTTATAAGAAAGAAATATATAAAGAGTAAAGCATTCGAATATTTGGAATAAAAACGAAAATTTTCAGTTTTTTAACAAAATAATTAATAGTTATTTTAGTTCTCTCTTATTCTAATGCATGCATTGGATCATTTTATGACTAAGTTTTGGTACGAAGCATAGAATGATGATTATACTGAATCTATAAATAATATATACAGTTTAGAAACGAAATATAACATACTCCATGCATATATTTTAAAAAACTAACAGTGACGTTATCAACATTTACACTTAAGTAACAAATAAAAATACAGTATTAAACATTGTAAATAGTGAGGTTTTGGAATAGATTTATGACCTATAAGCTATACATTTGTTTAATTTTTATTTAAAATTATTATTTTGGTTTATATTAATAATTGCGTTAAAATTAAAACTAGTTCTTTTTAAGCCCGGACCAATGAAACTTTTTAAATAAGTTACATTTTTCAGAGATAAATGACGCCGTAAAAATTAGTAAAATTTTTAATTATTTTATTTTATTAATAATAATAATTATTATTAAAAGATTATGATCAAATTTTTATTGATAGTAAAAGTATGTTTACAAGGAAATTGCTTTTGTTAATATATTCTTTTTTCATATGATTTTTAAGAGTTAGCATTTATATTCTGTAACAATTTCCATTCATCATGTACATTAATTTTTAACATATGTAAAACGTGATTAATTGTTTCATACCAGTGGTTCAATTAATCATTAAATTAAATAACAATTTAAATTGTAAATTAACTTAATGATTATTTGTATCGCTGATTATGATCACTTAATAAGATGTAAAGCACATCACATAGATGTATGATTAATAGGATCAGTGTATGGAAGGTTTAGCTGANCGGAATTTTGAAGTGAAGGGGGCGATAATAGGTAACGGTTTTATTGAAGGGGGCGATACTACATTGAAGGGGCGACGATTCGTTAGAGGTTGAGA